GGGGCTTCTGCTATTCACTTATACTCCAGATGATTAAGAAAAAGGAAAGTTCTTTCTTGGTTGGTGGCTGTTTTCCATCTCAGATGCCACATTCTTAATTCTGTCACTAGTCCTAGCTGGTATTTCTTCTATTTGCCAAGGCCCAATTATATTCCTCTAAAGCCTAATGCAGTGAATGAGAACTGTCTTTCCTTAAAATAAATAAACTCAGTTAAATTCTTTACATAAAATGTAATCACTTCTTGGAAATGGGGATAGCTATAACTGAAGTTGAAAATGTCATCTTACCTAGCTTTACAGGAAAGCCTGGTGGAAGCTTCATCTGAACAAATTCTCTAAGTTTGTTAAAGTGCTTGAAGGGTGCAATTACTTCTAAAACATTCAATAATCTGAAAAGGAAAGTGAATTTTCATTAGGAGAGTTTCTCTTTTACCAGCTTAATTTTTCCCCTCAGTGAATCAGTGTCTAATGAAGATAAAGAACTAAAAATTAGTGGTCTAAACACTTGCTATTAGTCCTGTGATGACAAAGCACTGCTACTCTGACAGTGACACAGCAAGGTCCAGCTTTCAGTAATCCACACTATCATTTACATATTGTGTTGGCATTAGCAAAAAGTGTTTATTTCTAGCTTTGATAAGCCACCAGTGGCTAGACCCCAAAATTATGTCACGGATTACCATACATACATTCTCAAAAATGGCCCACAAACTTAAATTCTAACACTATTTTGGAGTCCTTAGACCACTGTGGGCGTGTCTTCACATTCATTAATGCGCTTTTGCTATTGCAGATTAAAATATAGTACCTCTAATGTGAGGTAATAAATAAATGTGCATTAGGCTGCCCTAATGCACAGTAGCCTAATTTTACTGTGCGTTAGTGTATTAGCATGTAGATGTGCCTTGCAATGCTTAAATTGCAAGCTTTCATGTATTATCACTAGCCATTTTCTACAAACTACTAACATATAGACATATTGTTAACATAGCAAAGAGAATGAATTTAAAAAAAAAGTATCATCCCATATCATAACATATTCAGTCAGTGAATTTGTTGGTATGTCTCAGTAGTCTCAGAAGAATGAACAATCTTCAATGGAGACCCCTCTCTGACTGAAAGCGAGTCTTAGGCCACTGCTGACAAACTACACCATTCCTGATGTCACTTTCAAGAGGCACTACAATGTACCAGGGGGGTTAGGAGGAGAAGTCAGGAAAATTAATTTAAAAATTCCTTATGAAGGAAGACCCTTTCATTAGCAAATAACTAGACATTCATTTCTTCAAACTCATTCTATGCACACCACTTCCTTTTACAGCATCTATTTCCTTGTCTCCTACCGAATGCCCTTTCGTTTTCTTTCCAGTCACAGCACTGACACACTCCCACCATCATTTTCCATCAACTATTGGTTTCTTTGTCATCTCAGCAGAACCCCAAGATCACATACCAAGTGGATCAAAGGCCTCAAATGCTGTGTTTGGAGCATTCGCTCCACACAATATTTAGAAGAAACATGGCAGTGAGTTAGAAGAGAATTTGCATTAAGACACCCTAGAGACAAAAGTGACCTGGGAAGATACTTTATCTTAATAATAAATCCTCTCTTCACCTTGTCTTTGACTCTTACACCTGATGTATGCTGGGCTAACTCTGCTGAAGACTCCTGGATATAAAACTCAACTCAGCCTCAAGATGGAATCACAATTAATTTTTTATGGAGCTACTGAGGGATTTTACCAAAATCAAATGACAAATACCGAAACATTATTTACTAAAATGTGGACCTTTAGCGATATCTTGCAACCTAAGACTAGAAACACATTGCTAGATGACCGGAGAGCCTTTTCTTTTCATGGTTTCATACTTGGTAGGGTCAGAAGGGACCTGAGCAGATCATCGAGTCCGACCCCTGCCTTGGCAAGAAAAACGACCCCAGCAAGGTGTTCGTCTAGCCATGTCATAAAGACCCCCAGGGTAGGAGCCAGCACCACTTCACTTGGAAGTTGGTTCCAGATCCTAGCTGCCCCGAGAGTGAAGCAGCACCTCCTGGTGTCTAATCTGAATCTACCCTCTGCCAGTTTGTGACCATTATTTCTAGTCACTCCTGGTAGTGCTCAGGGGACCAGGGACTCCCCCAATGCCTGCTGGTCCCCCCCTGACTAGTTTGTAACAGGCCACTAGATCCCCCCTCAGCCTTCTCTTATGGAGGCTGAACAGGTTCA